CTTCCCATGATTCCCTGTTACTCTCGGCTGCTCTGGCCTGTGGCCTCTCACCGTATCAGTGTGTGGCTTGTCCTTCTCTGTCCTGCAGAGATGTGTGTGGAGATTTGCTGGGTCTAGAGACTTGTGTCCCTCCTGTGTCTTCCTCCCCCAGCTGCCTTTCAGGGTTCACATGTGTGCTGTCTTTTACTTTTCTCTGTCCCATGTTCTATGGGCCACATACACTGTTGGGCTCAATAATAGAGCATTTTGCTTTCAATTCTAAAAAAAAAAAAAAAAAAAAAAAAAAAAAGATATTTTCTTGCATTTATTTATGGATTTGTGTGTATGAAGAGGGAGAGCATGCCATGGCACGTGTGTGGAGGTCAGGGGAAGATGTGTGGTAGGCATTCTCTCCTTTGACCCTGTGGGTTGCCGGTCGAACTCCAGTCCTTGTGCTTAGCCTGCCTAGACATTTTACCTGCCAGTACAGCGTTTTCTTTCTTTCTTTCTTTCTTTCTTTCTTTCTTTCTTTCTTTCTTTCTTTCTTTCTTCCTTCCTTCCTTCCTTCCTTCCTTCCTTCCTTCCTTCCTTCCTTCCTTTCTTCCTTTCCTTCCCTTTTTCCTAACCTTTCCTCTTTCCTTTCCCCTTTCCTTTCCTTTCCTTTCCTTTCCTTTCCTTTCCTTTCCTTTCCTTTCCTTTCCTTTCCTTTCCTTTCCTTTCCTTTCCTTTCCTTTCCTCTTTCCTTTTCCCTTCCTTTCCTTTGTTTTCTTTTTTGTTTGTTTGTTTTTTTGAGACAGAGTTTCTCTGTGAAGCCTTGGCTATCCTTTGTAGACTAGGCTGGCCTCAGATCCACCTGCCTCTGCCTCCTGGAATGCTGGGATTACAGATGTGCGCCACCATGCCTGGCTAGGACTTACTTCTTAATACACATGGACCTGGATTCATCCCTGGCACTTGGGCAGGTGGTGGTGGCAGTGTGGTGAGGGGAAGTAGTTGAAAATGTCTACAGGCTATTCAGAAATAGACTCCCAGGCTGGACAGTTGACTTCTCCAAGGCCCCATGCCAAACTGCTGCCTGAGTTGAGTTTTGCTGCTGGTTAATTCTGACTCATACTTCCTGGCGGGGTATGTGTGCGTGTGTGTGTGTGTGTGTGTGTGTGTGTGTGTGTGTGTATCCCTGCTGGGGTGTGGGTTAGCCAGAACTTTGCCTGTTAGTGTGTGTGTGTGTGTGTGTGTGTGTGTGTGTGTGTGTGTGTGTGTGTATCCCTGCTGGGGTCCAGGTTAGCCAGAGCTTTGCCTCCCAGACAGGTGAGGGAGAGGTTCTGGATTCATGTTCTCAGGCCAGATGAGGAGAGGCTTCCATCTGAGGTGTGCACCCTGGCGGGCTTCCTGAAGTAGTGTGTTCTCTGTAGGCATTGGCCACAGTGGCTACCAGTAAGAAGTCGCCTTGAGCCTGCAGTACCTTGCTCAAAGCCACCTGTGGCTTCCCAAGGGAGGACCAGCCTGAGGTGATGGAGCTGGACATGAGTGTTGCAGTTTGATGGGTAGAAAAGGGGTCAGAGAGTGAAGAGCTAGAATGAGCCAAAGCCACAGGTCCAAGCAGCTGGTAGGTGGACATGCATGTGGCATGAACTTTCCATGCGAAAGTTCAGACACCCCTGGGTTGGGAGAGAGAATCGGGGGTGAGGGTACTGAGGGCAGCTCCCAAGGAGGGGGACTCACAGGGGGCTGAGAACAATCCCCCCTCCCTGTGCTGTGTACTCGCTAGGTGTGAAGGGCAGTCTCCTCCTGAACAAGGGAGTTTCTTGAGACGTCCTGCCTTAGAGGGACTAAGGTCATGTTTCCTGGGTTAGAGCAGGAGCTCTGCAAGCTGTGGGTCAGGGTGGGCACCAGCCGGGACACTGCTGGGAGCCTGGGAGGATGGGGAGGCTCAGTGAGGCTGGAAACTGGAGTTCAAGGCTGTCCTCAGTTATAGAGCAAGCGCCAGCTGGGCCTCAGTGAAACCCTCTGTCTCTCTCTCTCTCTCTCTCTCTCTCTCTCACACACACACACACATTGGGGAGGAGGTAGTGAGATGGCTCTGTAACAGAGGCTTGCTGTCAAGCCTGAGCACGAGTTATCTGCTGACCTCCACATACACCCCACATTGCACAAATAAATGTAAAAAGGGAAAAAGAAGAAATGGATGATGGATGCCTGGGTGGGTAGAGGGCAGGTGGAAGTGGGTGTGAGGTTGGGAAAAAAATAAAACGTTTTTGCCACCTCTTTCGGCTCTGGGTTCTCTGAGGTGGGAAGCCCAACCCTTCCGTCATCGACCTTGTGACCTGGCTCCTTTCCCTGACCTTATCTTTCACCCTTTTATCTGCTTTCTCCACACCCAGGCTTTCCCCTCACCTGTCTTTACAGGGGTGTGCCTGGGGCCACTTCCCCATGCTCCACCGTTGGCTCCTTGAGCAGGTGTCTGCCCACACCTCCCTTCCCTCATGGCACAACAGCCTCCCTTGGGTCCTGGGGCCTAACTCATAATCAGTCCAGTCCATACTTAGGAAGAGGAAACTATATCCAACTTTCATACCGGTGGTGAGGTTTGGAGGGCATCCCAATCAGTCTCTAAGACTGTGTGTGAAAGGAAAAGTGATGGAAGATTCTGGAAGAGGCAGGAGAGGGTAGGGCTGAACTCAGGAAAATAGCTTTCTCACATGTTGGCTGCTGAGGCCACCTTGGTGGTGAAAACCACCTGCCTAGCCTGGGTCAGGGGCCTTTGTTTCTTTTTGTCTTCTATAAGCACGTGGCAATTCTGGGGTCTTCAGATTCCTGTTAGGGGTCTCCTAGAGGCCATAGACCTCTCCCTAGAAAAGCATACCTACAACTGTGTATCCTCCAGTGTTGTTTTGCTTTTCTTCTGAGACAAGGTCTCACTGTGTAGCCATCAAGGCTGACCTCAGACTCACAGTGTTGCCTCTGCCTCCTGAATGCTAGGATTAAAGGCGTGCACTACCATCCCTGGCCCAATTATGGAAAAGGATCTTGGGCTCCTTTCAGTGGATTTGAAGGTTTATTTTTGAGACAGGGACTCCTGTAGCCTAGCCCTTGGATTTACCTTACAGCCTAAAATGACCTTGAGTTCCTGACCCTCCCATTCCCCAATTCACTACCACACCCAGTTTATGCTATGCTGGGATTCAAGGCCAGGTCTTTGTGCATTCTGCCAGCTCAGCGCTGCCCCGCCCTGCCTGAGGGCTTTCTCTAGACTCTAGGATGGGCTCTCCCTGGTCTGTGTCCTAGGATAGACCTTTTCCAAGCCTTGTGCCGGTACCCACAGCTGAATTTAGCAGTTTGGTTCAGGAGTGCCCTACCTCACAGAGGAGGAAACAGAGTGACTCGCTGGGTATCATCATCCTCAGCGCCACATAAACCGCGCCAGGTTTTTATTCAAGGGGCTTCCTGGTTCTAGGGTCCAAAGCCATTTTGGAAAACAACTTACTTCTTCCCTTATTCTCTAGTTGCCCCTGAGCCATGGTTGATGCAGTTCTGAGCCTCCTTTCTCTTTGCTAATATAACCATGCCTGTAACATGGTTATGTTAACATAGCCATAACCGAAGTTAACAGAACTATGCCTTGCTTACCATAACCGTGCTCAGCAGCTTCCTGGAGTTGTTAGACGTGTTGAGAGCACCTCCCTCCACTCAGGGCTGGTGACAAATTTAATGTGCAGAGTGCAAGGGCCCTTCCCTCCCAGCTTCGATGTCCCCACCAGCTAGAGAGCAGTACTCGCTTCTTCTTGGTAGTCAGAGGATGTCATCCTGGTTCACCAAAGCTTTGTGTTCCTCACACACCTTCCCTGGCCACCCATGGGTAGAGGCTGTTGACATTAAGGACAGTCCAGACCATCCAGGGTCATCTGTCCAATGAGTTGTGGTAGGGTTGGGGGATGCAGAATTCAGAGTTTTGGATCAATGGCCAATGCACAGCACCCCTGGGAGGATGGCTGTGGAGTTTAGTTCTGATGACGAAGGGTCCCTGCCAGCTGCTCTTTCTGCCAGCTGTTGTTGCTGTTACTGCCATCGAGGCTTTTCTGACCTGGCACTGTACCTGCCATGAATAGGCAAGATTGGGCTGTAGCTTAAAGACCTCAAACTTCAAAGCACCTACAAACCCTGTGGCAATCCTGGCAGCACACGGGCTCTGATATACTTGAGGACAGGTCTCAGACAGATGGATTTCCTTTCTTTCTCTTCCCTCCATCCCCTCACTTCCTCCCTTCTTTCCTTCTCAGTGGAAACACTTATCTTGGCTCACAGTTCCAGGTTGAAGCCCACCAAGATGGAGTAAGAACTGTGGCGGGCGTGTCAGGGGGCCTGTCCCGTTGCCTGCACAGTCAGGAAGCAGGAAGAGACAAACAGTGGTGCCTGCTTCTCTTCTCCTTTCTATTCCGTTCAGGACTCCAGCCCAGGGATGGTGCTCCCCTCATTGGAGGTAGGTCTTCCCACCACAGTTAAGCCAGTCTACGGACTCTCACAGGTTCACTCTTTGAAAGCCGATATACCAGTTAAAGCGGATTTTCTTATTGTCGTTTGTATTTGGCGGGGAAGGTGGGCATGCTGTACCACGGTGTGGAGGTCAGAGGAAAGCTTGAAGGACTTGGTTCTCACCTTCCTCCCTGTGGGTTCTGGGATTCGAACTGAGATTGTTAAACTTGGCTGCAAGCACCCTTACCAGCCGAGCCATCTTCCAGTTCCCAAAGATAGTGAAAGATTTCTTCTTAATTGTGTGTGCCGCAGGCTCACATGCAGTCCTTGCAGAGGCCAGGCTTCCGATTCATTGGAGCTGGGGTTAGAGTGGGTTATGAGCCACTTGATGTGGGTGCTAGGAATTGGACCCGTCACCCTCTTAACTGATGAGCCATCACTGCAGGTCAAAGATAACACTTTTAAAAACAGATTTTAACTAACCTATTTGTTTATATTTATGTGTGTGTGTCTGTGTGTATGTTTGTGTGTGTGTATACATATGTATGTAGGTGTTCCAAGAGGCCAGAAGAGGGTGCCAGATCCCCTGGAGCTGGAGTTACAGACAACTGTGAGCTACCTAACATGAATTCTGGAAACTGAACCCCAGTCCTCTGCGAAAGCAGTAAGCACTCTTAAGCTCTGAGTGATCTCTCCATCCCCTTGGTTTTTAGTTTTTGAGACAAGGTGTTGTAGCCCAGGCTAGCCTTGAAATTCCTAGCTCAAATGATCATGTCTCTGTCTCCCCAGTACCTGGGGCTGCAGGTATGAATACCATACCAGGCTATGTTTACTGTAATTTTAATAAGGGTGAATTTAAATCTTCTGTCTTGTTATTTCTCTTTTGGATATCTCTTGTGTTCTTTGTCCCTCTCCTCACTCTTTTCTTGCCTCCTATAGGCTGAATATTTTGTTTTGTTTTCGTTAAGGATCAGACTTAGGGTTTTGAGCATACTAGGTAGCTGAAAAATGCCTATAGCCCTTCACTGGAGGATTCTAGGCAGGGGCTCTACCACTGAGCCACACCCCAGCCCCTCA